CTACCTTTAGAATTATCTAGATCTGGAGAACAAAGTTGTCTTAATCGATTTTGTCAGTTTACTTAGTACCAAACATAGTTCCAGAGTGTTTTTATTTATTATATAAGTAATTTATAACTGTAGAATATATATATGATATATATATGATATGTGTAGAATATGTATATGATATGTGTAGGATATGTGTAAGATATCCTGCATCAACTCTACACATATCAGGTACCTGATAGATATATAATATATATATGGTAGGTATCAGATATATGACAAATTTTTATTGATATCTGTCAGGTACTCATTTGTTACCTATCTGGTATCTGATATTTATAATCAGACACCTATCCTACATATATCCTACACATATTCTACACATATCTGCATACCAGATATATGTAGGATATGTGTAGGATATATTAATTTCGATCTGTGTTCGTAATTTTTTCTATACAAGGTTTGATCATATTATAACAAGATACAGATATAATATAATTTAAGTAAAATTAAAGTGTGAGTTCGATCTTATAGATCGAACCTCTTATTTATTTTCACATATGATTACATCACTGATTACAATAGATTTTGATATTATATTATAAGTCTGTAATATTTAGCTTCAAAATTATACTATGTTATCTCACATATTATATCAATCTTTTCTAATATGTCTTACTCTTGCTATATTCTATCCAGATACTAATGTGCTATATATAACTAATTAATTTGTAAGAAAAAAAAAGTTTGCATCAAGGCTATTTTTCACAAAGCTTACAAAATTTTTATAGAATTCTTTTATATACCTGTTTTAAAGAAATAATTTTTTTTCTTTTATATTAGATTTTTTGTTATATGATATTAGACTATAAATTCGAGTATTACGATTTGGATATGAATCGAGACCTGAAACTAAATTATTTTAAAAATAATATACTTGGAACTGAACCAAAGATCAGTTTTAGGTCAGTTCCAGTTCTTCAGTTTAGCTCTGTGGAATACTATTTTGTAAAAAGTTTTAAAAACAATTTTGTCCAAATTGTAATCAGATACTAAAAATAGATTAAAATTATTTAATATATAAATAATCATATATTTATTAACTAATATATATATATTGAAATTTATACTTTAAGCTTTAAAAGACCCGATTCAAGAAAAATTCTTTTTAACAAAATAAATACATTCTATTCTAATGATAATAAACATCAACTAGCATACTATTATAATATTTGGTAACACTTGTTTCTATTGATGCTTCGTAAAGTTTTTTAATTAGACCTTTAACAATAAACAAAAATACTTTTATTATATTATAATACTCATTAGCTGTAAACTGCTTAATGTTTTTTAGATCTTTGCTAAAAAGGTTTAGTCCTAAAAAACTTGGAATTCTTGATAAATATTAATCGAGTTTATTGATAGCAGCCTGTTTATATAGTTCTTTTAGCATCTCTCTTGTATATACTATTTGATAATTAAACAGCTCTAAATTAAATAATATATTTTATCTAGAACTGTAGCTGAGTAAATGTTTAGTTAACTAAAATAAAATAAAAAGTATTAATAAAAATAAATATATATTGGTTAAAAAAATTATATTTTAACTAAAAGATATTTTGTAATACTATATAATAACTTAATTACCAGGTAATATATAGTTATTGGGCACATAGCGACCAATAACTATATATTATTTATTTACTATAGTAGTAAATACAATAATATATATTACCCGGTAATTAAGTTATTATACAGTATTTTTTTTACTTTTTACTTTAGCAATCCTTTCTTTATTTTTTAAATTGGCAATACCTTACAACAAGATATCTTAGTTAGCTAAATATACATTATCTATAAAAAATATTTTATGCTTATACAAATAAAAAATCTCTCGATCCATCTTATCAACACAATAAAAATGAAGTAAACCTCAAATTTATGCTAAAGTATAATCTAGAAATAACTTGCCTAAATAAACATTTTTCTTTTTTCAGGATTCTCAACTTACTTAGAATTTAAACCTCAGAGATCAAAGATAGCTTTTACTGACTTTGTCAAAATTACTGCTCTACAATAGAGTATCGCTAATCTGATAACACTTTCTTGTAGAAAAGTAAAAAAGAAAAAAAAAAAGATAAGTGTAAAGGAAAAAATGAATAAGTAAAAAAAAAGGGCATACAAAGAAAATGACCAAATTATAAAGGAATTAAAAAACTATCCTAAAATCTAAGAGAACTTGTTTACAGATATAAAAACTTGCTAACCAGATGTAAATTTATCTATATAATCATAGAAATCTATATATAGAGCCATTTGATAAAAGAAACTACAATATATTTTCCTGTGCTAAGAACTAAAAATTATATGTTTATGACTTCGGAATATTGCATATCTCATATTACTACTCTAATTGCCAACTCTTGTATTAAATCTAATTCAAGTTTTAGAGTAACCAATTTTAAAGTCTTGACATGTAATCGTCAGTTTTAATTTTAGCCTCAAAACTTCCACCTCATATGTGTTTGTTGTTTTCCTTATTCGTCATATCACAACTTGAAACTTTCTAAGAATAGAAGTGGTAAACAATGCTGATTCTTTGCTAATCTTTGGAAAGGGTAGCCAAATCTCCCACTTTTTGTTAAAAATTATAGAAAAAAAAGAATAGCCCAAGAAAAGATAGTTTTGCAAGATTCTAAATTTAAAGAGTACCTTTCTAATCTATTTGTTTCATCCTTTAGTCTTTTCTTTTTTCTAAACATAGATTCTTGTGCTATAGTGTTTCTAAAATATCTTTTTAGTTTGGATACCGAATATGTAAGGGGAGTCTACTAAGAAGAAAAGCTTGATTTCTCTAAAAATCAATGTATAGTTACCCGCATCTTAGTATATTATATCTGCAGTCTTCATTAACAACACTCTGTTACTGAAATAGAAGTTTATTAGAACTTTAGGCTTCAACTCTTTGTCTTGTATTCAGTAAAATTTGGTTCAAGTAATCATTAGGGAGAGTTGAGTAATATATATATGTATTATATAGTATTACTTAGTTAAAATATAATATATATTAAATAGTATTTAAATATTGCTATTTAATATATTTTAAAATTTGCCAGATTTTTAAATTAAGTTATTTACAGATATTTCTAAAGAATATTTTCTATATTATATATAAAATTTTGATATACAAGTCTTGGAGTTCTTAATATAATTTGTCTTTCACTTAACTTAATATTGTTCATCTTCTTTACTATGAGGATAAAGTAGTCCTAAGGGGCCTTAGCAGCAGGAATTCTTTTAGAAAAGCATCTGACAGTACTAAGTTGACCAGAGAGTTTAAATAGAGGATCTATAAGCAGATTCTAGATATAGCAATTGGTGAGTAACTATAGATAGAAATAGATATAGCAGAGCCTTTAATTAGACAATAACTAAAGTTATATATGTGACCAATTGTACTCTTATTGATATAACAAAGTTAAGGGGGTGCCTATTTGATATTCTGATAATTGAACTGAGAAGTTAATAAACTGTGCCAGACCCTAAAGTAGTCATCTTAATATTAAAAAAAAATATATATATATTGTTCATCTTCTTAATTGATACTAGACAATTATAACAAGGATGTTTACAGTTGACTAAATTATATTTTAGTATTATTGATGAATGTTCTAAAAAATCTTCTATTAGTGTAGATATAAATGAGTAATACTACAGATTGCTATAGTTTGTTTTAAGATCAAACCTATTTTCTTTGTAATCAAGCAATAGTTCTAGCAGTATTGTCACGGGACAGTTGTAGACAGTGAGTTTGGACAATTTGGACAATTTTGGACAATTAAATAAATTAAAATTACTCAAAATTTTATTAAGATAATCTATATTACTTTCTAAGTAAAATATGTTTAACATCTAAAAAAATATATAGTTATATATATTTTAAACAAATTTATTAATTATTAAAGCTTAAATATACTCTAGATACTTTTGGACACTTGGACATTTGGATATTGGACAGTACCAAAAAAGCTTTTGGATAGTCAAAATGTACATCTCTAGTTCTAGTATAATATCAAAGATATAAAGAAATATTGATTGTTTAGCAAGCAAAAATCTTTTTGTTTTTTTTTTGAGTTATTGTTTTTAACTTTAAAAATAGAAGGCAGCCCAAGAAAACTTTAGCATCAGGTTTATTATGTCAATATCCAGGTATATTTCCTAATATTAAATAGATAGAAAGTTCACTTGCTTTATCAAATCAGTTGCATATTATTATATCAGAGTAAATGATTATTGATAAATATTTGCTTCATCTAAAATCATTTTTTTTGCCCTTTCTCACTACTCCCTATTATATTGTTTATGATAAATTCTTTTTCCTTTATGATATAGAGGTGTAAATTTAAAGATACAATATTTAAATATATCTTTATTGCTTAATAGTTTTTTTATAGCATCAAAAATAAAATAATAGTTTAGATAATATGTTTCTTTCTTATAAGTTATAATAGATACTTTTTTAAATGAAAGATGTAGTACTGTTATTTGATCTAAAAACTGATATCTTTGTTTGACAGAGGTAGATAAAACTGGATTGTTATTGAATATTTTCTTTGCAAACTTAAGGATTTTGCTATCACATGTATCTGATAAGTTCTATTTTATAAGTAACTTTATAAAATCACCAAATTTTTCACTGAGAAAAATCATTTTTTCATTTATCAAGTTGGTGATATCAAGAGACTCAAAAATTAAAGATGACTCTACATCAAATAATATAAATCCTTTCTATATATATATAAATTAATATTAATTACAAATAAAGTTTATATATATATATAAATTTAATGTTAATCGCAAATAAAGTTTATTTGTTATGCATGTAAAGTTATATAAATAATTGATTGTTTAACTTCACCATCTTTATATATTTACTAAAATTTGACTGCTTGATTCTTCCATCTCATTTTCTGATTACTTTTAAGCTAGCTTTCTTGTTAGTCTTCTATTCAATAATTATAGTTATTTTTATCACCAAGTTGATTATCTATTCTTGTTTTATTGTTGTCTCCAATATCTTCATTATCTTTAACACCTTCATTGTCTTCAACATCTTCATCATCTTCAACATCTTTGTCATCTCCAACACCTTTATCGTCTCCAATACCTTTGCTATCTATTCTTATTTCACTACCTCCAAGTTGTTTACTTTTCTTTTCTATTGCTAGCTAGTTTTCATTTTGCTGGTATTCTTGTTTTATTTGAATTCTTTGCTCTCTTTCTCTTTTTTTGGCTATTTTCTGTAGGAGTTTTTAATAGTATTATTATGAACTTTCATATGATTTTAAAGTAAAGCTCTACGAGAAAATATCCTTTCATACTTTGTATATTGAAACTTTATTGTTTTAAAAAAAAGTATCTATATATAATATTTGTAATGATTTCGAGTTAAATATAATTCTAATCATGATTTTGATTTAATACATATTATTATATATTAATAGTTTGGATTTACATCTTTGTATTACCTGTAATACAGTTTTTAGAAATAGTTTAAAAATTTAAAAAATTATATATTTAAATAATTTTTATATACAAAAATCTGATAATTGTCAAAAAATAGTTTGGTAAAATTTTTTTTAAAATTATTAATAAAATTATTAAGAAAAAATTTTTTTTAAAAAAATAAAATTTCTTAAAGTTTCTATACTACAGATAGTATATTTTCTGAACCTATTTTTTATTATATAATTACTAGTAATTTGCTAAATTGTGGCTTAGCTCAAAAAAGTT